TCAAATGATGCATTAAAGTGTATCAAATGGTATCAGAGCAATTTGTTCCTAAGATCTTGGTTTTAAAAAGCGAGTGCCTCCCTCACCATGGCGCTTGGCGAGGTGTAGCGGTATACTCATCGCATTAACACATAAAGGCCAGGCAAGGCACACATGGCGCTCGCTATTGAGCGCTTTACTATTATTGATAAGTCGCTAGCGATGCCTCACTGATTCTTCTGAAACCAACTTGGTTTATACATATTTTGATACTAAACCAACTTTGTTTAATACGTAAGCTCTGCTGTCTAACATAATCTGTAGAGAAACCTAATCCAGTCTACTATATTATAGTTATAACTTCTAAGTTCTCCATCAGCTATTTCCTTTTACTGTTAGATCTCTGTTCTCATATTCATCTTCCTATGAATCAAAACTCCGAATCGAAAATTTTAGAGCTTTAGGTTTTCTAGTTCTGCTCTTTTAGATTTAGTACTTTTGAATTGGTGTTTTGGTTTAAGCTTTTAAGGTGTCAAGGGAATTGATGTTTTTTTTTTTCTACTGTCTTTATCAACGGCTTAACATAGCTTAATAGTTAGAAATAGATAATTACAGTTTACATGTGTGTTACACATGGCGATCGACTTGCCTCGCCATAGCGCTTGGCGAGAGGCGAGCACCTCATCGCCATTGTTCGCATAACGCTATTTAAAACCCAGCCTAGATCACCAGCGACACAAAATGTCTGAGCCGCCGCGATTACCCATCACCAGTGGACATCCCTGTTTAAAGGACGGTCCCACATTGCTTGTGGCAATAAAATGCCAATACCATATATAGGCTTTGGTTATGGACTCTGATTGTGGGATATTATGCCAAATGATGCACTAAAGTGTATCATTATTCAAAGCATACCACACATTATAATACACACGGCTTTCCATTAAAATTAGTTGACAAATCATATAATTAGAAGAGATAAACAAATATACTGACTTCAAAGAACAGGACAAACCAAATCAATATATGACATTGGTTCTCATGCAGGTTGATTAATTTGTACTAAACTCGGAACATAGGAGCAAGCATGCGGAAAACCCTCTCTGCCTGTTGTAATCTTCCCGAGATCAATTTCTCTAAAGTAACCACTCTCTCCAAATCCAACGATGTAAGCTGTGTTACGAGTCGGTTTTTCCACATTCTTATCTTCATCAAAAACAACAACAACATCATTCTCCACGTCTACGATGAAACTCCCACCAGCGTTAAACCGAAAACCCGTCAATGGCGCCATATCAACCGCAAAGAACATGCTCCAAGACACAACACTAGGCTCAACTTTAGTCGTAACCCAAACCTCCATCTCAAACGTCTCACAATGCTGAAACAAAACCGCAAGCTGCTCTCCTCCAACACTAGAAAGAATCACAGCATCGTCTGAAAAACACTCAAACGGCAGAGGCAGACCCGGTCCAAATCTCTCTCTAGTAAAATCAAAACAGAGCAAGAAACCTACTCCTACTCCTTTAGCATACCAATACGTGTTTCCTCTCAATGAAACACCATGGTTATCGTAACCTATATCCCAGTCTGGTCTAACATCAAGAACCCTCCAAGAATCAGAGTTCAACACATAAATCTCATGCACAGAACCAGAAAACCTCAATATCTTATAAACGCGGCATGACTTGCTTTCTTCATATCCCAAAGCATGAGAGTACCAAAGCTTTCTGTGATGAACAGATACAGACTCAACCGAAATCCACCGAGTCTGACCCGTGAAAGGGTTCCAAACAGCGAGCCAAGAGTATGCTTCCGTTGTACATAGCAACAAACCGTTACAGTGACACACACGGGACACAACTACTTGATCCGAATCATCAGAGCTAATGAGTTTACCTGTAGTCTTTATCGTTGGTTCAAATCCTCTTTGGAGATTGACCCTTATCAGGTTAAGACTACAGTTCATCATCAAGACGTTCAAAATCTCACCTTTAGGTGTTGATTTTTCTGTCTGAGCAAGATGTTTGTTTGTAAAGGTTGTGTCTTTGCATAGAGTGTTCCAGTTTTTGCAAGTGGATCGGACTGATCTTATGGATGTTATCGCGACCCTTGAGAGAATCTCCTCGACTAGCTCTGGCGAGAGCTTGGACATCATCGTCATCGTATCAAATTTCATTAAGGATTATTGATGTTAACAAGGAGATTAAGTTAGGTTTAATATTAAGCAAAGTCTGCTCCTTATCCACACTGTTTTTCTCCTCTGTTTACAGATTCTCTGCCGGATGGGAATGAAACTGGGCCAATGATGGGCTCTTCATGTGGGCCAGCCACAGTTTATAATAATACGCAAAAAAGAGTGTTGGCTAATTTTAACCCAAAAAAAAGGAGTGTTGGGTAATTTTATTAGTTCTTGCTTTATTTGTTCGATTTCTAATTTTTCTTAGCGAGTTTGAGTGTAGTAAGTAGAGCTAAATGTTCTTGAGCTTTCCTTCCTTTACTGCCTCACATGCACTTGATTTATCTTAGCTCCAAATTAAGCAAGTTGATCCGATCTTGTAGCATCTTAACTTCTCAACTAAGTTTTTGCATACTTTCATTCTGAAATCTTAGCTCCTGGCCTAATCTTTGCAGAATGCAACCGGTTGATCTGAACAGTGATCATTTTTAGAAGACACAAATTATAATAAAATACATGACTTTCATGCAAATAAGAGTTAGCTTTGTGTCTGAAGATTAAAGTTTGGATACTCTCCCAATTTCAGGAGCATTCTTTCTTATGAACCTCCCAAAGAGAGTCCTCCAAATATTCCCTTGAAAGTCACTGAAAAGTCCTACAAATTCATCTGCGCAGGAACAGAGTTTTACCCCTTCATTAATAAATAAATATATACAACAATCCTGGCATCAGGAAACCTGCTTATTATTAGAAATGGAAGAACCCAAACCAAATAAAAAGATTATTGATTGGGGATAAATCATGTTCAAATAGCCATGACAACAAAAGAAACCAAACCAAATAAAATAAAAAATGCTACGGAAATAAACTATATTAAAAATGATCCAAATTAATACAGACTTTAGAGTTTATCATCAACACAATCTCCAGATAGTCCTCTTGCTTTGCTCTTGCGTGATCAGCTTCTTTAAAAACGTCCCATCTTTGGATAAAATGTTCCATTGTTTGCAAGCACTGTTAGAAATGACGCTAGGCGCTAGTCGGGCGGCTTGGTTAGGTCTAGCGCCTAGAGAGAAAATCGAGGATTAAGCGGAGATTAATCGGGACCTAGTTTTTATGCATATATCCCTGGTTCTAAAAAGCGGCCACCGTGACCGATTATACGGCGATTAAACGTTGGGCGGTTCATGAGCGTAGCGATTTGGCAAAATCGGCTATAAAATCGGAAAAAAAAATTCACTGTCAAGTTTTAGCATTTTAATTAGTATAATACGAGTCAAATCTATCATATTCATGCATAAATCACGAAAACGAGTGTTGAAACTGAGTTTTGATGAGTATAAATCAAACGGCCGCCATGTCCAAACGTCTGCAACTGTTAAACCCTACGGGGAAGACAATAATTAAATTACTATTTCATCCTGAAGTTAATAAATGAAAAAAAAAAAGACAAGTGGCTAAAATGTGCCTTGAACTCTGCACCCAACGTGGACAAATCATCTCTAAAGCCACTACTCTATCATAGAAACATATGTATATTCCACCAAAATAATATATTATGGATATATGCATAAAAACTAGGCCTCGATTAATCTCCGCTTAATCCCCGATTTTCTCTCTAGGCGCTAGACCTAACCAAGCCGCCCGACTAGCGCCTAGCGTCATTTCTAACAGTGAATATATCCATAATATATTATTTTGGTGGAATATACATATGTTTCTATGATAGAGTAGTGGCTTTAGAGATGATTTGTCCACGTTGGATGCAGAGTTCAAGGCACATTTTGGCCACTTGTCTTTTTTTTTCATTTATTAACTTCAGGATCAAATAGTAATTTAATTATTGTCTTCCCCGTAGGGTTTAACAGTTGCAGACGTTTAGACATGGCGGCCGTTTGATTTATACTCATCAAAACTCAGTTCAACACTCGTTTTCATGATTTATGCATGAAAATGATAGATTTGACTCGTATTATACTAATTAAAATGTTAAAACTTGACAGTGAATTTTTTTTTCCGATTTTATAGCCTTTGCCAAATCGCTACGCTCATGAACCGCCCAACGTTTAATCGCCATATAATTAATCGGTCACGGCGGCCGCTTTTTAGAACCAGGTTTGCAAGTAGATCGGATTCTCCTCAGACACCTTAGCGGAACCCTAGAGAGGATCTCCCTTACCAAATCTTGTGGAAGATCGGAGAGTATCGTCATTGCTCTTGAATTTTCAACAAACGATTTTTTTTTATATAATGCGCAAATTAAGTTAGGTTAGTTAACCTTTTCTACTATGTATCAGATTATCCGCATGAAACTGGGCCAACAATGGACTTTTATATAGGCTAAGACAAAAATATATACAACACAAACGAGCGAGGCTAAAGCAGTGAAACGTCATATACTAAGATCATTAAATCAGTGATGATAGGAAAAATAGCAGTCAGAGATGAATGTTCTGCATAGTGCTGATCATGTCTAAAGTATGATTTGATGCATATATGTTATAGCATAAAAAATGACATATATTATACAACTATTACGCTCATGGAGTTTACAAGTCCTTCAGGACAAACAAGTTATCTCATCAAGAATGTGTCCAGGGAACTGTATAGTGGTATTTTTGGTAATAAAGGTTTAGTCAAAGATCTGACGTTTTTTAAAAAATAAACCGGGTTTGACTGGCAATGGTAAACCGATATATAATTATAAACCGATTTCCTTCCAAAAACGCTCGTGGAGAAATCTGTTTCCTTCTTCTTAACTGAAACGCGTGAGGAGAATTCAACTTCTTCAGCGGATCTGAACCATTTTTTGACTGAATAGTTTTGAAGGAAAGAACAAAACATGGGTTGGATCGGAGAAACAGTGGATTCCATCAAATCTATCAAGATCCGTCAGCTTCTTATTCAAGCCGTCACGCTCGGTATCGTTTCCACATCACTTGATCCAAACCTCATTATCATTCACAACAAAACAAAAATTGATATCTAAGATCCACCAATATCGTTTTTTTTTGTATAAGGATCAGTGTTACCATTTTGAGATGTATTTTTTTGATATGATTGTTCTCTTGATAGATAGAATATTAAAAGGCTGTTTACCTTTTTAATTGTTTTTTTTCAAGGTATGATCGTGACGTCTGCATTGATAATATGGAAGGGATTGATGTGTGTGACTGGCACTGAATCTCCTGTAGTTGTTGTTCTCTCTGGTAGCATGGAACCTGGCTTTCAGAGAGTTAGTGTTTCTCTATCTTTCACTTGTTTGTATTGTTAAATGTAAATGAGTTTGTAATCAGTTTTGAGGGCAATCAATGTGACAGGGGGATATATTGTTCTTGACTATGACCAAGGACCCCATTAGAACAGGCGAGATTGTTGTTTTCAATATTGATGTAAGTGGAGCTTTGTGTGCCTCTCTTGTTCTGTTCGATCAAACCCATTATCTTACTTTATGTTTTGTGTTTACTAATTGGTTTAACTTCTCTTGATTATGCTTCTTCTTATTTCAGGGTCGTGAAATACCCATCGTCCATCGTGTCATTGAAGTAATGTTTTCTTTCTTCTTAAACACTTTTCTCATTACCATCTCTTAAAGATTTAGTCACAGGATTGTTGAGCATAGTATTAAGATGTTGATATCACATTTACAGGTTCATGAGAGGAAAACTACTGGTGAAATTGATGTTCTAACAAAAGGTGCTAGTTTTGTTTGTTTCAATGTTTAACCCCTTTAGAGTAACGATGTTTATTTCAATGATTACTTGAAACCACATTTGCATCTTCCAGGTGACAACAATGAGGTGGATGACATCGGTCTTTATGCTGATGGGCAAATGTGGCTTAATCGCCACCATATTATGGGCAGAGCTGTTGGGTAAGTGTACCCGAAACCTGCAGCCAGAGATGGGGAAACATTAGTAGTAAATGGTTTCCTTTTCGTTTTTTTTTTCAGGTTCTTGCCTTATGTTGGATGGGTAACTATTATCATGTCAGAAAAGCCTATCATCAAGGTACATTCTTCTTACATAGGCCTGCGATGGTTTTGGATTTCAGATGTGTATTCATACTCACGATAAGGTCTTGTTTATCTTCTCTTCTTTCAGTATATACTCATTGGTGCATTGGGGTTGCTTGTCATAACATCCAAAGACTGAGACAACATACAAAAGAGCAGGTCTGTGGTGGGGAAGTGGCTTCTGCAAGTGCAACCCTCATCATCTTTTGCAGTTTCATGTCATTAAACCGAATAACAAAACAAAGTTTATAATTGAACTTTAGATTCTTATAAGCCAATTTTTTAAAATAATTTATATAGTTTGATCCTCATTTCAGCAACGTTTTTGTGACCATTTCTTTAACAGCATTGTTTGTGACTTCCACTCAATGCAAAAAAAACTATAATTTGTGTCTGAAAATTACAGCTTGAATTCACAGAAACAGTCAGGCAATGCAGATCCTCTGCCAATTTCAAAATCATTCCTATGAACCTCCCAAAGAGCTTTCTTCAGCTCTTCCTCTTCAAGACCCTGAGAAGTAAGCTCTGCAAACGCCTTTCTACTCAAGAACATAGTTTTATGCATTCCTTTATAAGCTCTCATCGCTGCAACCATCTTATCCATGTTCCCAAAGTACGTAGCTACATAGGCATCGCTGTTGATGGAAACATAATAATCCAACGCAGCTTTTGTGTTTCCATGCATTCTTGTGAAATCTTCATGGTTTAGCAGAGCAGACTTGGTGAACACCTTTGTATAAACGGATGTGAAACCTTCCATCTCCATCAGACCGTCTCCTGCTGCTAAGTATATGTTTGTGCTTGTTGGGATTCTTAGTGACTGAAGCATCAAGACTGTTTCATTAGGAGTCAAAGGGCACTTGCCTCGCTTTCTCCAGCTTTGAGCTATCTCTCCTGTCCATGGTTTTTTGTCTCCTCCAGCAGCTTTGATAGCAGCAACTGAGGAAGGGGATAAGTTTGGGTATTCACATCTGCTGTATGCTACCATGTCAGGCTCGAATCTAAGGTGAAGTGACAAAAAGGGTTTTGGTATGGCATTGAAAAGCTCGAGGGCCTTCTTCTCCAAGGAGCTAGTGAGGCGTAGAGAGGAGTAACAAGCTTGACAGAGCGTGGCTTTTGCGTATTGGGGATACCTGAAACAAACGTAACCACGCAAATGCTGAGAATAAGAAACCATAAGATTCCATAATGAGACATAAAAACCATGTACCTGTCCCTGCGCTGGCTCATTGCAGGTGTTAAAGAAATGTATTGATGTTCCAGTAATAGTGGGAGAATGCTTTCTCTGTAATCGAATTGACCCTTCCTTTTGCTGCAGTCTACTCTGAATGGCTCTTTTGATGATATATCGGTAGGCTGATCCTTGACAACTTTGATAAAGCCATTCATCTTTTGAATGAAGTAGTCTACATCAAACACATCTCCAAATCCACTGCGGAAGTAACATAATGTTGTTTACAAAACCGAAAGTAAACTCAAGACAAACTTAAAAGATGTAAGAGGGTTACTTACCTCGACTCATTCCAATAGGCAGCTACCTCAAATTTGGGTAAAACAAGCGTGGCGTTTAATAAACGTGCGATTCCAATACCATCACACAACTGCAAGCATCACATGATTAGTTATGAAGAAACTGCAGTGTAGGTATTATTGGTTCAAAACACTTACATCGCGTCTCATCTGATTAAGGCCGCCAAAGCAATCAATGCGGATGAATCCATTGCTTTTAGCAGGTAGAGCTGAACAAAAAACCAAAGCAGATGTCTGCAATGAAAGCCGTTCAAAAGTATTCTTTGGACTCAGAATAAACAAAACAGAAAACTTGAGCCAAAAACAACAAGCAATGCCTTCCTTTTCTACACAGTATACAAAAGAATCTGAACAAACCATCTAAAGCTACTTATATCTATACGTTCATAACCATCAAAGGAGTCACTCTTACTGAACATAACTACTTAAAAGGATAAGAGAAAAGGAGTCACATACGAGTGAGATGTCCATGTAACCACCACTTGCAAGGACGCCACTCTGCTATCCTCTTGACACTCCATATATCAAAATCACTGAAGCACAAAGACAAACTCAAGTTATAAATCTCTAACAAAAGCCAAGAAACCGACATCTTATTGTCCTGTATCAGGATAAAGATGGGAACTTTAAAGCTAACTTTAGTATCATCACATACACGTATCTTCAAGAAGCATCGATCAAGTGATACCCAGCTAATATCTAAAACTTTCCAATAGGTCTAGATTTGATCCAAGACCATGAAACCTATAGAGCCGCTTACAGAGTAGAAGCCGAGGAGAATGGAGTGTTCACGAACTGAGGCGACGGAGATAGCAGGATCACGGCGAGGAGGAGAGAGAAAGTCAAGCCGACGACGAAGAGTGGCTTCACTGGAACCGAAACCATTTGATGTTTGATCGGAGAAAGACAAGGGAAGTATTACCCTTCAAGTTTTGTATGAATTTTTGTTAAGATCTGTTTTGATTTATCGTTGTTTTATTTTTTTTGTTATTACAGCCAGTCAACCATGTCGTTAGTTAAAATGTTTCGTCTCTAAAACTTGGATTGAAGAAGTTACACACAGTTCAGTAACAAAAAAAAAAAAAAATTACACACACGTGGATAAAGTAGAGACACAGAGGAAGTACATGGTTAACACTAACCAGCAATCAACTTTTTAAGTTCTGATCAAAGCCTTTGCTTTTATTAAAAGACACACTCATGTTTTCCAAGTATCTGTGAACTTTTGCCTCTGTAAATCTTCATATAGAAATTGTAACACCTTAATCAGTGGAGGTGTTCATATATTATGAGAATTTGAAATAACAGTAATAATTGTGTTCTAATCTTTCTATCAAACGCTTCTCAACATAATTAAATTTATCTTCCTCCGTCGAAGATAGTATTATTTGACTATGTAAATCGTTTCATTTGTTGTCCCTGTAATAAAAAAAAAACGTAAGAAGTATAAGAGGACTGTGAATCAAAGCTTATATAACAATTTTTTTCACTTCAATTACCTCTTGACAAAAGAATCATCCTCGGTGTTTATCACAATCTTTTCACCTGCCTCCAGATAAGATGGTACCTGAGGAACAAATGGGTAGTTAGAGCAATCAGACTAGTTTATTGATCACAGGAAAGATTCAGGACAAAAGAACTTGAATTGCTGCAACTTCCAAAGGAAGAAAGAATTTACTTGAATAGTAGAACCATTATCCAGGAGAGCTCTCTTATAACTGCAGTTTGATTCGCCATGTTGGAGAAAGACGATGGTACATTGTGAGAATCATTAATATGTAAAGAGACAAATACCGAAAAAGCACAAAGCGTTCCTGATCTTTAAGAGACATACCGAGGAGCTGAGGTCAAGCCTTTCATAGGAAGTTGTGTTTCTTGGATTGTGCATGTGACATGCTTAGGAACAGATGCAGATAAAGCTCTTCCGTCATACAACTGCAACTGGACTCTCATTTCCTCTGTCAACACACAATACAGGAAGGAAAGGATCAACAGATGCGATAGCGATTATAGAACATGCAAATGGATTCTAGCAAAAGAACCAACCTTTTAAATATACAGCAGCTTTGCCAAATATGTCCAATGGCACCTCAACTTGCTCAAACGTATCAGGCCTGCCGAATTAGAGATCATATCTTACAACTCATGATCCTACTGAATGTATAAAGTCTACAAACCAGGTAAGGAGATTGCGCAAAAAAAAAGTCAGACTCACTCAATCAGGAATGCTGTATCTCCTTCTGTATATAAACATGTGAACGACTTCTCCTGAACAAAAACCTCTGCAGTAGTAGATTGATGCAAATCAAAATAATATGATATATAATTACGATCGGCTTTGAATTTAATAGAATAAACAGCATACTCTCAACGGACTCCTCAGCTCCAAAACGCAAATTAAGTTTGCTACCGTTGTCAACATCGCGAAGCTCTACCTGTTTCCCGCAAAAAAAAATAAGAGAGGTGCAAGTATTGAGGATAAGAAACAGAATATCAACAGAAAAGACAAGGCAACACGTACACTAAACTGTTAATAAAATAAAACAAGTCGAGTAGCAAAGGTTAAGAAAGAAGAGAAGCTAAAATTAACAAAACTATAATCAAACACCAAGCCACATGCATAATCAGCTTAACATGTTTAACATGACCTGTTTCTGCATTCCTAAGCTAGTGCATTGCATTACACAGATAATATGATGAAATGACATGGAAATCAATATGCATTACCTGTATGGAGGCTCCTCCTCTGCCTTGTTGTTTATGCTCTGATTCTACAACCTATAACATGAAAAGATAACTCATGTTTCCCATTGCATAGAATTAAAAGACTGAAAAATGAAACAAATGTCCCAGTGACTAACCCGGAAAGTACGTCCTGAAAGTCCAACGTTCCATTAAAAATTGAGTTAGATTCATACATATCCCACAAACGTTGTATAACGAAAAAGGAGAAAATTTCAAAATAGAGACCCAACCTGTTCGCTCAATAACGTTCCCTGGCCTTAACTGAAATAAACAACCAAGAACTCAGAGTGAGAACAAAGCACAACAAAACGAGCAATAACTCGCTAATCAAATTGAGTAGGAGGAAACTCTACCTGAATGGCGTTAACTTTAACGCCGCGGCTTTGAAGAGCAGACCACAATGAACCGAGCGCACGTGTTTCCCCGTAGCATCCACCGGCTGTCTCCACTGTGATCCCGTGCGATAACAGCGATCGGGTCAAAGAATAAAGTGATCTACTCGATATCCCTCGCATCTCTGTTACACCTGCAACAACAACAACAAAAAGAAACAAGCTTTAGTTTAAATCATTGTCGGAATATTTATACACAAATCAAACCAACGCTTGTCTTCTTAATCAAACGCTTGCTTATTAATCAAACAAAGACAGAATAACAGAATTTGCTAGCAGCACGAGAATTCTCTGCTAATAACAACACTAACCACAAATTTTTTTTGCGATATTAAAAGCTAAAAAGGTAAAAACTTCGCATAAATCTTTAAGACTTTATAAGCTATGGAAGAGAGAGAAAAGGAGAAATGAGGGATCGGAAAGAGAGGGAGGGGTTTATTACCAGTAGGAGAGAAAGACACAAAATCAGTTTGAGTGATGGAAATGCGAATACACGATTTGAGGGGAGACGGCGGTGGAACTCTAAACCGGAATAAACCCTCTCTCGTTGTTGGGCTGAAAGAGAATAGTAACCCCAATTTGCAACTTGTTTTGTTACTGAGGGCTATGTTTTTGGGCCGGAGCGAGTTTAGCCAGCCAAATGGGCTTTCGGCTACCTGCTCGGATTCGGATTGGGTATTCAAATTTTCTGGTATTTTGGTATTAGGTTTTACCGTTCAGATATTTTTTACATGTCAGGTTAGATTCGGATATTTTTAGGTCGGATTTTAGGTATTAAATTCTGAAAGAAAAAATAAAGTTTAAAAATAGGTTAGACAATTAATAAATTTAAAATAGATAATAATTAATTTGGTTAGAATTTTCAAATTTTGAATGCATTTTTTGTTAAAACATGAAATAAGAAACTTAATATGCATTTTAAATGAGTAGTAAATCATTTTTCTCACAATTCTTGATATATATATATATATATATGATATTGAGGTATATACAAAATTAATATAAATATTTTGAATATAATGAGATAAATAAACTAGAAATAAAATATGTATATATACATATGTTCGGTTATCTTCAGATATATATTCGGATTCGAGTTTGGATATTCAATCTCTCTTAATTTAATACTCATTCGACTATTTTACTACTACAGTTCAGATTTTAATTCGGATATTTCGAATCGGGTTCGCATATGAGTTCGGGTATATCACGTAGAGTGCCCACCCCTCCCCCTGTATTTTAACCGAAAAAGTCTGGTTCTCTCGAATACATATACAGTGTTAGAATTAGGATAAGATGATTTCTCTTTTAACTCTAGGACACATGGATTAATCTGTTTAGCCTTTCATATCGTGATTCTTGATCCTAAATATCTCTTGAAGGATATATGCTTAGCTAAAGAGAGAGTTAGGCAGAGCTCTTTAGGCCATCATTGTATTCTTTTCTATGATATATCAACTCATCTAAAATTACTGATAAAATATTAGATATATATGATGTCTTCATCATGGCACATACTTTATATCTTATGTTGTCTTCATCACGGCACATAATCTATCTTCTCGAGACTTCAAATTATCAACTAAAGATTAGTCTAATAGTGAAGTACTTATTCTTGAGACAGTGAAGAGAAATCACCTGAAATATTTCCTATAGATTTTTAACAAAAAGTCTTTTTAAGAAAACTAAAAACTGATATTTCTACAGATAAATAAACGTGTTCTACACAAACACATGCGTATCTTAGGTTTAGCATTATCACAATAATGTTTATCCTAATCCAAAAAGCTTATTCTATCAAACGTTCATTGTATCTAGAGCCATCTACATAAAAACATAATATAAAATATACATTCACACATCTATATATATATGTTCATATGACTTACCATTTGAGTAAAACAAAAACTAACCAAGCAATATTATTGTTGTAGAAACACCACCAAAAAACGTTTCACTCTCATCTAATGTCTTCATCTTACATATCATCAACCTACGAGATGAGGAAAGCCGGAGAACATCCAAAGACAGCGGTGATGGTGGAGAATACTCCGGCAGCGAGGAAGCGAGCTGTGAAAGAACGTGACATCAACGAGAGTGCAGAGGCATTTATACAGAGATTCAGAAAGCAGCTTCTTCTCCAAACGGTTGGAATCAACTGTCAGTAAACAGCAATGCTCAGAGTTTTGACTAATATAAAATCATCAGCTATATCGTTTTAAATCCGAAAGATCTGTGAAATCATGGAATCGTATGTATCTATGTATTAAGAAAGAAAGAAAAAAAGTATCATAACGTTTTTGTTTATATGGTAAAGTAACAGAATAAAACAGTGTCTTAAAAAGAACTTTCAGACAAGTAAAAGACAAACAGAAACACAGATATGAATGAGGTTTTATTTGTTCTAAAAACGTACACAAGGCCCAGTTTCACAACTCAAAACCAGCTCAAGTCTGGTTTTACTGAAGCTTCTTGATCCCAGGGAAGGAAGGAAGAATTGAAATGAGAGCATCATTGTATCCTACAGGCTCTGTTTTGATTGAGAGAACAAAAAAAAATATTTCATTAGGCAGAGAAAATTAAGAAAAAAACGAAAAAAAGTTAAAAGAAGAAGGACTTGCCTCCATCCTCTCGCAGTATTTTGACAACCTCGCCGCTAACATCAGACTGGGATATAGTAAGAGAAACAGAGAAAAGAAAATTTAACAAACTGGGTGGAAAATAAGAGATAGGTATGATTTCTAAATAACCTCGATTGGGAACTGGCCACCGAGTTGTTCAATGTAGCACAGAACTTGACCTTCTTTCACTTGGTCTTTCTGTCAAGAGTAAACAAAAGAAAAGACAAGAGTAATGAGCAGTTTCCCCCATTAAACCAAACACTCTCTGTTTGCTCAAGAAGATTGGTCTTTACCTCTTTACAGGACGAAGGAGTGCGTTTACCCTTTATGGTTTTGGATCTCCTAAAGAACCCTACCTGCATATCACCACACACCATTTAGATTTGGTGACTGAAACTCACCTCTTTCATTTCCCAACCAAGTAATGAAAAAGCTCTGACATATGTTCAGCCTTTTAAGTTGTGTGGACTCTTACTTTTGGAGACTGGAGAATCACCAAACCCTGATCAGCAGCTGAGGATGTTGGTTTTATAATAGCCAATGAAGTAGAGGAAGCTGATCCATTCGAATCAACACTCTCCGTGGTTGAATTTGCAGCAACGGCAGCAGGAATTGCCTGAGGTTGTGGTGGACTACTGTTGTCAGCTACGTTCCTTGCTACATATAGGCGGAAACCCCCCAGCTATTAGCATATACAAATGAAAGACGTAGAGGATATTAGATAAGAATAGCTGAGACTACTAATCAAAAGAGCAATAACATAACTACAGATATAATTGACTTACTTTTAGTTCAAACTCTGCGATTGATGAGGAATCACATATTTCAGTCACAAGAGCTTCCACCTACAAGACCGAATATATAAATCAAACCAAATGCATCCATTTGAAAAAAAAAACAGGCCAAAAATGTTTTCTATTGTGCAAGTACATTCACATAAATCATGTTCTACTAGCTCATCTCATCAAAGATAACACAGCCAGAGTTATCTTTTGATGAAATGGCATCTTAAAATTTACTGAAAAAAAATCAAAATCACACCTCAGAGGGCTTGGGAACGAGCTGAGCGTTCAACGGAGATGGCTTGGTCGTCTCAGCAGCTTCTACTTCTACAGTATCTGGATACAAGAATGTTAATTCAGAAAACATTATAAGACACCCTCTATGCACAAGATGAAACACTCGGTGCATCTATCATACAAGAAAGACCTAAAAGATGATAAAACATAGAGAGATAAACTTACCTGCAGTCTCAGCAGGTGTGACAGTAGACACTTGCACAGCTTTCAGACACCCAAGAGTTGTCCTGAGACTCAAATACTTAACCGGCCTTTGACCAATCAACACTCTTTGATTGCATGGTATCTGAAACCTTCCAGATCCTACCTTACTGAGGTCTACTGCTGAGATTTTAATCTTAGGAACTCCTAGGCTACCTGAAATAGAACGCCACGTCTCGTTTATTTTTACACACTCAAATTTCCAGATAACTCCAGAAGCATTCAGTATAATAGAAGCAAATCTTTGAAATAATATTTAACAACACAAAATCTCATGGCAACGGTGCCTAAGGGCATCTCCAACTCAACTCCATTTTTTACTTCAAAATGGAGTAAAAATGATTATGGAGTAAAAAATGCTCCAACCCCACTTCATTTCTTACTCCATAATGAGATTTACTCCATAAATGGAGTAATCTATTTTTTGTTTGTTCACTACTCCATTATGGAGTTACAAATAGAGTGGGATTGGAGCATTTTTACTCCATAATCACTTTTACTCCATTTTGGAGGAAAAAATGGAGTTTTACATTGGAGATGCATTAACAGTGTATTAGTAAGAAACTAATTGTCAATGCTTACAATTATCAAGTTAGATTAAGCTTTTTATTCAATATAAAGGAAGCAACTATGAATCTCATAACCGTTGAATGCGATGACTAGAGAGAAAGGATTTAACTTTAGATCACAATTCACAGCATAAATCAAATCTAATTGATTCAAAGGTTCCATCTTTTCCGATAAATATCATTCTATGAGAGCAGAATACTTATGAAAGCGTCCAAGTTTTGAATGTATGAACAAGAACCTGGTCTCGTGTTAGAACTTATAAGATTAGACAAGACAGCAAAAGACACAGGTAGAGAAACTTACAGGAAGCCATGAAGGGAGGCAGAGAATGTAAGACAGATTAATGAGACTACGAAGCCGATGCAATAACGATGTGAACGAGGGAGATGAATTGAGAGGAGTGAGAGAAGAGAAGAGAAGAGAGATTAAATCAAAAAATTTGAGGTGAACACTGCTCTTCGTTGGTTGGGTTAGCTCATTCGATACAACCAGAGTGTTCTTTGTCCAGCTAAGCACGTAAGCTTTTGGTTTTATTTGGGCTTTCTAGCCCAGTAAGGTGACCAAAATCGTCTATAGTTATGGTTATTTTTTTTTATAAAATGTTACTATTATATTATTTCGTAACACAAAACAAAAATTGTTAAATTTGCGATTACCTAAGTTATTCAATCTTTTCTTTTCTTTTCTTTTCTTTTCTTTTTTTTCAATCTTCAGTTTTTGTTTTTACCTTTTGTCACTAATTCTTCGTTAGATTAAATTTGGGGATGTATATTAAAATGTCCAGAAATTTTTATATAAGAAGGATATTTAATCACACATGTTTTAGTACATTATTCCCAACGTTGTTTAAAAATAAATAAACACATGGTTATACTAAACACACTTGGATGCATGCAAGAACATTCATATTAGTACCAGAAAAATTTAAAGTCGGATTGTTTAATAACCTTTCTATAATATATTTTTTTATATAAATATATAATGACAATCTTCCAAATGTATGGAAAAATGCTTATTTCAATCTGAATTTTTTCAATCGTGCATTTTTTTCCTAAACTTTGTACTACTATGTATTCCATTTTGAACTAAACAAAAATACTACATAAATTTTACGGATCGTGTATTTTCTTTCCTAAACTTTATATTAGTGAATATTTCATACTTGATTAAACAAAAGTATAAAATTACTATACGAATTATCAAAATCGTGTTTATATATAAACCGTCAAATTTATCAATCATTCGTTAATTTATCAAAATGATATGATTTAAGATCAATTTTTATAAAATAAAAAATTTAAAAATACTACATAAACTTGTGAAATCATGCTTATATGTATATATATATATATATATATATATATTAATCATCAAAGATATTACCCATTAGTTAATTTATAAAAATAACGTCATTTTAGATAAATTCTATAAAATTAAAAATTACTTTTTTGAGAGGTTCAGATTTTTACACTAGTGGACAAGTAATAATATAATAACTGTTATATCAAAGTAATTTTCTTGTATAAATTGAGTAAATTCACTACATTTATCAGAGTTTTTTTTTAGACAGTATTCTATAAATTCAACCCAAAAACATGATAAAATTTTGATTATAAGTTAACGGACAAAATTATTAAATTCAATATTTTTGTAATTAGCTTTGTTTATCACTTTGGCATGCTCTGCTAGACCAGATCAAGATCATTGAGTATCTTCTTAGTACGAATGTCATATTCTTCATTTGTTCTGATGTTCATGCTTCAGTTGAACACATTTTCCATGAGTATAATTCAGTATTAATCTAAGTGAAGGTAGAAGATATTGTCTACATCAATCGGTGGTTTTTGTTTCCTATTTTGTATTGTTCGATTCACTAGCTCACTACAAGAAAACACGTCCTTTTCTAGGACGGGTTTTCCTCGTTATTTCCTAGTAAAGGGCCCTTTACTAGGAAATAGCGAGGAAACGTGTTTCGTCGAAAGACGTTCATCGTAAAGGTTATTTTCCTCGTAAAGGCCTAGCTAATTTACGAGGAAAGTTTTCCTCGTAAAGCCGTGGAAAACATTTCCTCGTAAGCTCCACGTACACTTTCCTCGTAAGGGCGTAGTAAAGTACTTCCTCGTAAACTCGTAGTAGACACTTTACGAGGAGTTTGCTAGGAATGTTTACGAGGAATTTACCTCGAAACCTTTACGAGG